AAAACAAAGTCATCTTAAAAATAATAATGGTCACATGAATATTGCTAGCAAGAATCAACGCCCATAAGAACAAAACCGTTTCAAGCAACAACAACTTCCCAAGCCGCTTTTCAATCACGTAACACACCACCTTATCCAAGTATTAGGGAATTCACTCACCTGCAAGCACAAGAAAACATCTACGGGCCGCAGGCACTGTTAGATGAAGTGGCGCCACATGAAACCCATCAAATCTGACAATGAACGTGAACTAGACTTGTATTATTCGAGTGGCACTCAATATTTGCTCCCAAGACACGGGCAAGAGCGACAAAAAAATGAATGGAGACGGAGATATCGACAAGAGAATGACCTCCATTTGTCAGCAATTGCTGCTTGCCGTTCCATTTAAATTGGGTAAACAAATTAAAGATCATACGGGATTGCATTCATACAACAAAACAGCAAATAATTAGACAGATAGGATATGCCATATGGTGCGATGGAGCCATATGGTGTATGGTCGGTGAGAAACACTCGACGACAAAACTCTAGTAGAGTGGACCTGGCCAAAAAGGAAAAGAAGAGGCGATTAGCTCTAGCGATTTTCTGTGGGTATTATCATGAAGGTCTTACACACGTTACGAATGTTCGGTTTAAGTCATAATGACTCTGCACCATCCGCAACTCAAAAATACGAGATTTGCAAATCTGTCACGACAGTTTTACCAAGATTCTAGCAGTCAAGAAGTCCCTCGATATGTAATAATTAGGCGAAGTTTACTCACAACATGAATCGAACTCGTGATCTCATGGAATACAGATGAATCATCTACCACCAAGTTATCACGACCCTCTCGAGATGAACCTCAAGGGAGTTTAACGGAATGATGGGTGGGCGCAAATAATCCTCTCGCAAGATGGCATCTACACTTAGTACAAGCTCTCTTAAATCATATCGATTGCAACTTCCTTTTTCAGATTCATTCATGATTAGTTTGGAGTCGCCATTGCACGTTTACTAGGCCAGTTAGGAGAGCTTGATGGAGTACGAGAGATCGCTTTTATCTCTGTGGATCAAATAATTGAGTCTGGGGGAACTTGGCTACGCTAGATTAAATTAACGCGTATGGATTCGTACCTTTTTCTCTTTTAAGGAAAACCTTGGATATGCAATCTTGATTGATTTTATTTCCTTAACATGCAAATTTATATGGTCATGCATAAGGGCAAGTGCAATAAAAATTGAAGCAATGTAAAAATTAACACGGCCTATATCGGGTAAAATTAGTATAAGCCTTGTAGACAATGTGATAAGAAATATATTCTAATTGAGACCACAACAAAACTAGTACATGAAGTGCGAGAGGCGCCTAAGTTCATCTTAAATGATTAAACTCGGCGCAAGTAAATAATGTTGGAGAAAACCCACATTTATTCCTCTTTCTTTTTTGTAACCCTAGGCGGAAAATAACAAATCTTAACCATATGGAAAAATGCCTAATTTAGTATAAGGCTCGCTCGCGAAAAAGCGTGTAACTTTCTCGATGGTGAGTGTACCGGCAAAAAGATCAAGAAACGGGTAGGAGGCTCGCATCATAACCCCCACGAAACACAAGACTTCGAACTCGAGTTGCTTGCCTTCACCTGGGAAGGCCAATGTGGGCAGGGAGGCGTCGGAGCAACGGACCGAATTGGTCCTCAAAGCTTTCTCAAGATTTTTTTCTCTCTCTTTCTCACTATTTGTTTTGTCTCTTCCTTTTTTTGTTCTCAATCTCGCCCCCTTCACTTCACTCTCGGCAACTTCTCTTTCCTTTCTCCTGTTCTTTTTCCTTGTTTGCCCGTTTCTTCTCCATTCTGGCCACAAATCAACAGAGTTTTGTCCCCTCATCCTCTGTTTTTTCCCTGTTCAGCTCCCACACCCTACTCTCTCTCTCTCTCTCAACATGTGCCTTGGTGGTTTACGGTAGGGGTGTGCAAAACGGACGGCCCAACTCGGGAACCGCCCGTACTGGACCGGCCGGTTTGGTCCGATTCCCGGGGGTGTCGGTCCGGTTCCCAATTCCTAAAAATGAAACCAGTGTCTGGGCGGTCTGGTTACCAGTTTTGAGGAGGAACCGAACTGACTACATATACTTTTTATATTTTTATTTTCTTCAAAAAAATTAGTAAAATGTGAATTAAACCCTAAGTGAACTTTATTAATATAGATTCATTGACAAAAATTAGTAAAATCTGAAATAAACCTTAAGTGACCGGTTCCATTATATCGGACCGGTATGATCCGATCTCTAATTCTCAATTTTGGGAACCGGTCCTTCCAGTCCGATTCTCAGTTTCGCTTTGGAATCAGATTGGACCGGGAACCGATCATCCTTAGTTTACTGAGGGGAAAGAGAAGGCGAATGAAGAAGAAGAGTGGAAAGTCTGGTTGTGTTGGGGTTGCCACTCACACCATGCGTGGAAGGAGAGGAGCACTAAAAGATTTTGGGCAAGTGGCCGACGAGAGGATTCAATCATTGTCCTTTGGAGTGCTCCGTAATCGTCGTATAATGAACAAGAAAGTGTAGATGGGAGAGAGATCAAAGTTAGGCCGAGCTTTGTTTGCTCGAGTCGAGCTTCGGGCTTGGTTAAATTCGACGCTAGAAAATTTGGGTCGGTTCACAAAAATTCGCAATCTCATTAAAAGGGTGCGTAATATATTTTTTTTTGTTTAGGGTTGAAATTACGTTATTGTCAACGGATTCTATTTTTAAGGTACGTCTATTTCGCGGAAAACGAAATAGTTTGGGAAATATATTCGCAAAAATGATCGGCTTGTATCTCTTATAAAAATAAAAAAATATTTTCATCGTTCATAAACATTTCTAAATACAAATTATTATTATTAATAATTTATATTTTATTAATTAATTATTTTAAACAATGCAATCGATCATTTTTAAAATAATATTTCGCAAGACAAACGGACCTCGGCTATAGACGTTTTGCACGTTGTCCCAACTTGAGAGGGGTCGCTCTAGTTGCCCATCTAATGATCGTCATATTTCATATATATTGTGTGGGACCCACTGTGTTAGATCTCAAGAAAAAAAGCACACTGCTTTCAAATGATTTGTTCTTCCACGAGGTTGCGTATTTTTTTTTTTTGGGTCGAACACGTTATTATGTACTTTCTACGTAGAATACATCACATGATGTTCCGTAAGGTATTCAAAAATACCGCGTCGTTAACCTTTCATCGTTTTAAACGATAGTGCTTGCCGTGAAATTCATAAAAATATCTCAAAATTCCAGAGTTTATTTGTAAAGAAGAATAAAAACAAAATTAGTGATTGATCATTCTGGCGTCATTTTTTTCTAATTAAATCTAGATATAAAAAAATACAATACTTTTAACACGTAATCTCTACTTCTGCTAAGAATTTTGTTGAAGTCACCATAACAAGAAGTTTCGCAGCGCATGACCTATACTGTATGATCATTCGCTCGTTTGAGAAACATTACAGAACTCAAAATATCAATGGGTGAATTGCAATTATCCCGAAAGAAAAAACTAAGAAGGAAACTAGAAATTCGTAAATCTTCATTTCGAAGACAACATGAAAATGACATTTTCATCGGTTTCGCTCATCGATCACTAAACCTGTTAATATGAGTTATAATAAACCTACCTCTTAACTCATATTTAATCGGTTAAGGTGTTACAGGTGTTAGTTATATAGTAAATAAGTTTAGAATAATAAAATCCAAAATAATATGGATCTTAAATTGGTTCACAATTTACCTACGCACCCACTAGCCACCGCTATGACTTTTTCTTCACTTTTTCTAACCGTTACTCAATCTCGTGCTCGCTCACTCCGCGCTCTTATCTATTGGGTAAATATGCTAGCGTTTTAGCAAATATGGATCATGTTGGGTATAGATTGGGTCGGGTTTGCGTCGCTAGATTTGTATTATATGGAAATGGATGGAGACGGGCTAAATGAATCGATTCATTATTGACCTGATCCACCCGTTCGACGGATCTGCCAATCACACACGGATACGCAGAGACCGGATGATCCCCGCACATCAAATGGGTAAAGCACGCGCGGGGTCGAGTTTCTTCCACGTGCTTTATTATTTGTTTTTTTTTTTTTGTGGGGTCGACAAGCACATGAGAGGCCTTGCGAAACAAAATGAACTTTCCTAAGCCACGAAAAGAAAACTTATATTTTCTTGTCGTCTTCGTTGCTGTGCCCCCCCTTCTGACGAGGATCTGGCTGTTGTGGGAATCGAACGGTGGTGGAAAGATAAGACGTCTGCTGAGTCCCACCGCTAGGGTTGCTCTCGCTAGATCCGAAGAGGGTGGTGGGTCGCTCTCGCTCAATCTGAAGAGGGTGGCGGGTCGCTCTCGCTAGATCCGACGATCCGACGATCCGACGAGGGTGGCAAGGGCAACATGAAAATAACATTTTTGTCAGTTTCACTCATCAGTTACTAAACTTGTTAAAAAGGGTTATTTCTTAACTCATATTTGATTGGTTTAGATGTTATATACATTAGTTATATTCGGTAAATGAGTTTAGAAAGGAAAAAAATATAAGTCTTAAATGAGTTCACAGTTTTATTTAAACCCAACTCACTGCTTGACCCTTTCTTCACTCTTTTCCCAACTTCACTTTTTCCTTGTGCTTGCTTACTCGGCAATCTCACCTATTTTTCCTAAATTGGGAATATGAAAGTATTTTATCAATATGGATGAGTATGCGTCACTAGATTTGAATGGATCGAAACGGGTTAAGTTGGTCAATTTGGGTCGATCCATTCTCAATCCGATCCACCCGTTTTGACGGATCCATGACCGGATGATCCCCGCGCATCACGAGGTCTTCCTCAAATGGGTAAGCGAGCACGGGGTCAAGTTTCTTCCACGTGCTTTTTTTTTTCTTTTTGTGGGGTCGACAAGCACATGAGAGGCCTTGCGAAACAAATGAATTTTTCTTGTCGTCTTTGTTGCTGTGCCCCCCTTCTCTCTCTCTCTCTCAAAAGCTCTTGCTCTTCTTCTGATCCCCACCAAGAAGATATGGGGAGCAACGGAGGAGGCCGCCGCGGCCTCCTCCTCCTCCTCCTCTATCTCTTCCCGTTGATCTTGTGCCTCCTGCTGTCGCGTCTGTCGGAGGCCGGCGCGTCGGGCGGAGGAGGCGGGGGGACGACGCCCCCCGTCGTCGTCGGGTACGGATACACGGTCCGGTCAGCCGCCATCAACCCGTCGGGAACGGTGTTGACCGCCAAGCTCCGCCTCATCGGCCGGACCTCCGTGTACGGGCCGGACGTCGAGAACCTCCGCCTCGTCGCCAGGTCAGAGCGAATTACATGTCGATTTGCCGTTGGCTAAGATGAAGCCCTTCTTCTTCTTGTTTTTCTTTTGCCAGTAGTGGCTCTATGAGTTAGACCGTTTGGTGAGTGGCTTTTTCTGTGGAAAAAATTATCTAAAGTAGAAAATTGTCAAAGGAAAAAAAAATCTATCGTATCGTTTTGCCCAGTCAAGAGGTTGCTCTTATTTTTAGCAATGTTATACTCGATTTTTTACGATCGACATATTCGCAAAAAAAAAATTAACATTTGAAATCACTTCATTTTAAAATTTCTAATTAACAAACAATGAAAATAAATTATTGAATACACAGCTTAAAATTTTTAATTAACGAACAATGAAAAGAAATTATTGAATATACAACGAAAATATATAGCGTGCATATTTATCTGTGAAATGAGAGACATTTTGAAATTTGAATTTTTTTCCTAAGAAGGTTGTTGCGGGAAGAAGATAATCAAATTTAAATATTGATTCAAGTGCGACATCGAATGTTAGAAGGAAAACAAAACAACCGAAAATAACTTCAATATTTACAAATATAATAATAAATATCTAGATGTATATTTAGTAGATTAATTTGTGATAGGGAAATTATCAAATAAGGACACAAAGTGAGTGTCTTTTTTCAAAAGAGGACCTCAAGTGAACAATGTATCAATTAAGGACCCAAAGTGCCAAACTAGTATCAAATAAGGACCTGAGCTCGCCGGCCGGCCAAATGTTCTCCGGCCGGCGACCGGCCGACATTTCCGGCACCGGAATAGGGGCAATTTTGTCCAATTTTTTTTTTTCTTTTCTTTTCTTCTTCCCCGGTCGCCGGTCCGGCAACCGGCGACCGGGCCAGAGCTGAGGCCGGCGAGAGCTCGAGCTCGCCGGCCATCTGGGCGAGCTCGGCCGGCGAGCTCTGCCCAGATCTGGGCGAGCTCGAGCTCGCCGGCCATGGCGAGCTCCGCCCAGATCTGGGCGAGCTCGAGGAGGCCGGCCTCGCCCGGATCGCGTAGTCGAGGGCCTTGGCGAGGCTGTCGCCGGAGGCGATGGTGTCGCGCCCGAGCTTGAGGACGAAGGGCCCGAGATCCGGGTTGTCGAGGGCCGTATCGGGCGGGGCGGGGCGGGGGCTAATTTTGGCTTACGTCATCATCGTCTCCTTCCAGCTTCGAAGCCGGCGGTCGCCTTCGAATCCGGATCACAGACGCCAACCACCGCCGATGGGAAGTCCCCGACGACCTCATCCCCCGCCGATCTCCCTTCGTTCCCCACAGGTCTCTCGCCGGACAAGCCCTAAGCCTGCCGCCGCCGCCGCCGTGCCGCTCCCGATGCCGCATCTCCGCCTCCGACCTCGTCTTCGTCCTCCGCAACACCACCCCCTTCTCCTTCGCCGTCTCCCGCCGATCCCCCGGCGACGTCCTCTTCGACACCTCCGCCTCCGACCCCTCCGCCTTCCTCGTCTTCAAGGACCAGTACCTCCAGCTCTCCTCCTCCCTCCCTCCCCGCCGCTCCTCCCTCTACGGCATCGGTGAGCACACGAAGCCGTCGCTCCGTCTCCAGCCCAACCAAACCCTAACTCTTTGGAACGCCGACATCGAATGCTTGAACCTCGATGTCAACCTGTACGGGTCGCACCCGTTTTACATGGACGTCAGGTCGTCCGGGGGCGGCGGCGGCGGCGGAGCTGGGGCGGGCACGAGCCACGGCGTTCTGTTGCTGAACAGCAATGGCATGGATGTGGTGTACACTGGCGATAGGATCACTTACAAGGTGATCGGTGGGGTGTTGGATTTGTATTTCTTCCCTGGGCCGTCACCGGAGGCGGTCATGGAGCAGTACACCGAGCTCATTGGCCGGCCGACCCCAATGCCGTACTGGTCCTTCGGTATGCTGGCTTTCATGGGTTGCTTTCGATTGCTAATACTGACATTTCGATGAATTTGATTTCGCTATTGTGCTTCGGCTTCTGTAGCTTGTTCTGCAGTAAATTTGAGATTTTGAGCATAATTATGTGTTGGTAGTATATGATATAAAGAAGATGGTATTGAAGATTCTGAGTTTATTGCCCTTGACTAGCTCTATGAGTTTATTCTCTCATGGATATGACACTAATCGACGCTATTTGACCGATGAATCAACAAATTGTGTATGTTGTGCTCAATAGGGAACAAATCTTAGAGACATTACATGTTATTTTCCTTTGAAAACCACTGCTTCCCAACCCCCAGCTGATCCTACCACAATGCTCACTGATGTTCAAGAAACATGTTCGCTTTCCTGGTATATGGCTAGATGTAGATCGGTTATAAAGTTTGATTCGCGGTAGATGGCCTCTTCTGCACTTTTTAATCGACAAGTTCGGAATGTAGTTTTACTGATAAAGTGTCTGTGATTTACTTTCTAGGATTTCATCAATGCCGGTACGGTTACAAGAATGTCGCAGACCTAGAGGGCGTGGTAGTTGGTTATGCAAAGGCTCATATTCCACTGGAAGTTATGTGGACTGACATTGATTACATGGATGCATACAAGGACTTCACTCTTGACCCTATCAATTTTCCGGTGGAAAAGATGAAAGAATTCGTCAGCAGCCTTCACAAGAATGGTCAGAAATATGTTCTGATACTTGATCCAGGTATGCAAGTGGGGAAATTGTTGTGGTTGAAACTTGGTCTTTTAAGTTCTTTCAAATTGCCATCATAATACTTCTTTCCCTCTCTTTCGAATGGGTGATCTTTAACAGGCATTAGCGTGAATGAGACTTATGGGACCTACATCAGGGGAATGCAAGCCGACATCTTCATCAAACGTGAGGGAGTCCCATATTTAGGTGTTGCTTGGCCGGGGCCAGTGTATTTCCCTGACTTCTTTCACCCGTCGAGCGAGAGTTATTGGGGTGATGAGATAAAGAGGTTTCACGATGTTCTTCCTTTTGATGGCCTATGGATCGACATGAACGAGCTGTCCAACTTCATAACTTCTCCACCTCTTCCTTCCACTCTCGACAATCCTCCCTACAAAATCAACAACGCAGGAGTTCATCAGACAATTAACTTCAATACTACTCCTGCGACGTCATATCATTTTGGTAATATTTCAGATTATAATGCTCATAATCTATATGGACTCCTGGAAGCCAGAGCAACAAACAAGGCCTTAGTCAATGTTACTGGTAAAAGGCCATTCATTCTCGCGAGATCAACTTTTGTGAGCTCTGGTAAGCACACTGCACACTGGACTGGAGACAATGCTGCCACATGGAATGACTTGGCATACTCAATTCCTGCAACTTTAAATTCTGGGCTCTTTGGAATTCCAATGGTAGGAGCTGATATATGCGGTTTCGCTCATGACACAACCGAAGAGCTCTGCAACCGATGGATTCAGGTAAATATCTACCTTTTCTTCATTATATTAACTGAACTTCTCTGCAACTGAGTAGCTTTAAGCCTTTGTTGATTTGTATTCAGATATAGGAGTTGATCAACTTTCTTTTCGTTTCTTTTTCTTCTGGGGGGGGCTGTTGTTGTTGGAGAATTTTACCACCTTTTGAAGACAGAAATAAAAATGTTCTTTAGGGTTAGGGGAAGTTCGGGTGTCTTTTGTGCTAGTAATTCATGCTATGTTGAATATGCCTCCATCTTCTATGGAAGGATATAATATCAAGTAGCGATTGGATAGCAGTGTAAATCATGTTTTTCTATCATACATATTTAAGCACTTATTTTTTGAGCTTTTACTGATGCAGCTAGGGGCCTTTTATCCCTTTGCAAGAGACCACTCTGAAATCTATACTATTCGTCAAGAGCTCTATCTCTGGGAATCGGTCGCCACATCTGCCAGGAAGGTGCTCGGGCTTCGTTATCGCCTGCTCCCATACTTGTATACCTTGATGTATGAGGCAAATAGAAAGGGGATGCCCATTGCCCGGCCCCTATTTTTCTCATTCCCGGAGGATAAGATAACTTACGATATCCATTCCCAATTCTTAATTGGTAAGGGTGTGATGGTGACTCCTGTACTAAAATCAGGTGCCCAAACCGTGGATGCTTATTTTCCGAGTGGAAGCTGGTTCGATCTCTTCAATTACTCAAATTCAGTGAGTACAGCTTCAGGAATGAATGTGATGCTCGATGCGCCACCTGATCATCCTCATTTGCATGTAAGGGGAGGTAATATATTGGCCATGCAAGGAGAGGCCATGACTACGGAAGCAGCTCGGAAAACGCCATTCGAGCTCTTAGTTGTGGTTGATGGGAATGGGAATAGCTCAGGGCAAGTGTTCTTGGATGACGGAGAAGATGTCGAAATGGGAGGGGAAGGAAATAAGTGGACTTTGGTGAAGTTTTATTGCGAGAAAACAAGGAATGATGTCACTGTCAGATCAGAAGTTGTTAATGGGGAATTTGCTCTGATGGAGAAGTGGGTAATTGATAAGGTGACAATTCTAGGATTGAGAAAAGAAACTAGGATGGCCAGACTGAGAGGACATGAGTTATACAATGATGTAGAAGCAAAGTCCGGACAGAGAACAGTGAAAACAGTGGGAAAATCAAGTGAAGGTGAAGAATTTGTGATTGCTGAAGTCTCGGGATTGTCACTTCTGTTGGGAAAGGAATTCAAGTTGAAAGTGAAATTGAGCCAATCTTAAGACAAAACATTATCAGGAGGGTGTAATAAAGAACCAAAGCATGTCTCCAATAAGTTTTTGTGTGTTTCCAAAAGGGAAAAGCACATCAGTATCAAGCCACTTCCTTTCCATCAGTGGCTCTTTCTTTTCCCCATTCTAATGGGATTGTGCAGCTTCTGAGCTGGTTAAGATTCCTAGATAAAATTTCTTATGTTTTCTTGAGAGTGAAAATGATACAAACGGTCCTTAAATTTTTTGCCCAATGTGGAATGTCGTCCCTAAAGTTCAATTAGTAGAAGGACAACGTAAAATATTTTCGTAGAGATTAAGGACTAAATTAAACATGTATCAAAAGTATAGAAATCATATTGAACAAATTAAAAGTTTATGAACGACATTGCACATTGAACTAAAGTTCAAGGCTTACATTGAACAAATTTAAAGTTTGTGGACTACATTATACATTGAGTTAAAGTTTATGTGTCATTATCTCTAAAAATGTCAGGGCTTTCACATGATTTCCTCTTTTACGATGTTACACACTTACTTTGTAGAACACATCACATGATACTCCGTAGGCTGATCAAGAATAATGCGTAGTTTACCTTTCATCGTTTTAAAAAAAGATAGTGCTTGTCAAGAATTTCATAAAAAAATCTCAAAATTCCAGAGTTTAGTCGTAAAGAAGAATAAAAACAATATTAGTGATTGACCATTTTGGAGTCATTTTTTTTCTAATTAAATCTAATTATAAAAAATACAATACTTTTAGGGCGGCGCTATTTCCACTCCCATTTTGGCTAAGACACTCCTCTCTCTTCAATTTATTGTTTCTTTTTTTATCAAGCTAATAAAAAAAACCGCCTTGATTTCTATCATCTCTCTTTTGAGTTTCACAATACAAATGCTTCATTATACTCGACAGAATATCATCTTATCATGCATTATTTCACTTGACTAGGAGAAAGTTATTAAATTTATTTTTTGTGTCATATTTTTAATCACAAAAGTTACATATATATATGACGTCTTATAAGCACACAATTATTAGCCTATTTTAAATCAAATAGTTTAAGACTATATTTCAAAGTTGAAGCTTAAAATTCAATCTAATTATCTAGAAAATTTTGATCAACAACGGAAAAGAAAAATTGATCAAAATATGGAAAAATAATCAAATGTTAAATATGTTTATGTTTAGATCATATCTAAATATTAAAAAAAATTAAGCACAAAAAGGAAAAAAAGGGAACTTCTGGTTGCTCTACTCCTACCATGAAGAAAGTAAGTAATATCGATTATAAATTCAATCTAATAGCAAGTGGATCAAAATTTTAAAATATGTTTATGTTTAAAACTTTCATTTATAATAAGCTGATGTTAGCTTAAAAGTAAAGAATGTGTAATAAGATTCTCAACCCCATCTTGAAATACAAATCAAATGTTTAACTTTAAAACTCCACAAATTTATTACAGAAAACACCTACAATGTCAATATTGGCTAGATATATAGATTGAATTTTAATTTCCAACTTTGAAATAAAATGTCGCTCAAATTATTTGATAAAAAATAGTCAATTAATTATGTGTTCATATGCCTTATAGCCGTCATAAATGGAAATTTATAATAATCTATGTAGCTTTTTTGATTAAAAATATGAGATCATATATTAAAATTAACAAACTTCTCTAGGCAAAGTGATAACAAAATGCAAGATAAGATGATATCTTGTTGGGAGTAATTGAGTTTTTGTATCGTGAAACTAACAAAAGAAATGACAGAAATGAAGGCAATTTTTTCTGTTAGTCTAATAGAAAAAGAAACAATAAATTGAAGAGAGAGATAGAGAGAGAGAGAGAGGGAGAGAGAGAGGAGGGTATATTTGTCGTTTAACTAAATAAAGGAGTGTTTTAGTCAAAATGGAAGTGGAAATAGCGCCACCCGTTTTTTTATTAGCTTGATAAAAACAGAAACAATAAATTGAAGAGAGAGGAGGGTATTTCGGTCATTTAACTGAAACAGGGAGTGTTTTAGCTAAAATTGGAGTGGAAATAGCACCGCCCTTAACTAAATAAAGGAGTGTCTCGGCCAAAATGGAAGTGGAAATAGGGCCGCCCATTTTTTTTATTAGCTTGATAAAAAAAAGAAACAATAAATTGAAGAGAGAGGAGGGTATTTGGGTCATTTAACTGAAAAAGGGAGTGTTTTAGCTAAAATGAGAGTGGAAATAGCTCTGCCCTACTTTTAACACGTAATCTGAACTTTTGATAAGAATTTCGTCGAAATCATCGCCACAAGAAGTTTTGTAATGTATAACCTATAATTTATGATAATATGTTCATTATGTGAGATGTTACAAAACTTGAAATATCAATGGGTGAATTGCAATTACCCAAAAAAAAACAAAGCTCAGAAGAAAACTAGAAATTCTTGAATTTTCACTTGAGCTTCGTTTGTTTAACAGAAAATAAAAGTTTGGAAAATATTTTATTAAAAACTATTACTTTTGCTCTTACAAAAATGACTAAACAAAAAATATTTTTCATCATCCACGAAAATATTTAAATATAATTTTTTGTCGATAATGAAAGCTTTTTTCATTGACTAATTATTTCAATCGATACAAGTGGTCGTTTTTAGGATAATATTTTTCAAATCATTCATTTTCCACAACATAAAAATGACATTTACGTCGGTTTCACTCATCCATCGCACCTGATACGCGAAGATCGGACGGTCCCAGCACATCCCGAGGTCTTCCCCAACGGGTAAGCGAGCGCGGGCTCGAGTTTCCTCCATGTCGAAAAATGAGAACAAAAACCCAAAAAAAAGCATGGGAATGAAAATGAAAGCGACGAGCACTTGAGAAGCACGTGAGCAGCCTATGAAGCAGATAAATTTTTCACTCTCTCCCTCTCTCTCTCTCGCACTCTTTCTTGCTCATGAACTTCTTCGAGCTCTTCTTCTGATCCCCACCAAGAACATGGGGAGTAACAGCGACCGCCATGGCCGCCGCCGCCGCCGCTGTCGTCGCCACCTCCTCCTCTCGCTCTTTCCATGGTGCAATATAAAACATTTTGCTTTAGGTGTCGTTTTCCGTCATTGTCGGCGGATTCGGTCTTTAATTTTTTATGAAGTGCACGAGATCTCTGGACGAAAAATTTTAGGTGTAAACATAGGCCAACCGCCTTGGCAATCGCTTGTCTAATCATGGGGCTAGAGAAGGAAGCCTCGTCCCTTCACTAGTGGCGTGACCAGCCACAATTTTCATCTGGTTATTGTGACGGACGACGAATCACATTTCGTAAAATCTCATGTGGGACTCATAGCGTGAGATCTTAAGACAAAAAAAAAAGGCATTAAGCTTCCATGTGATTTCTCTTTTATGCTATAACGTACTCGCAATGTAAAATAAGTCACGTGAAATTCCGTAAGCTGTTTAGGGTCCGTTTGTTTCACGGAGAATGAACGATTTGGAAAATATTTTCGTAAAAATGATCAGTTATATCGCTTAGAATAATTAGCTAACAAAAAAATATTTTCATCATCGATGACAATTTATGCCTAAATATTTTCGTGGATGATGAAATTACTTTTGCCTATTTATTTTTTTGTAAACGATACAATCGATCGTTTTTAGAAAAATATTTTCCAAAACGTGGATTTTTCGCGAAACTAATGAAAAGAAATTTTAAAAACAACGTGTCATTGAACTGTGGTGGTTTGAAAAAAATAGAGCTTGCCATAAAATTTATAAGGTATCTCAAAAGTCCTCCAGCCATTTTTTTAATTAAATCTTGATTAGAAAAGTAGAATTACTTTCGACATGTGAATCTGTTCCTTTTAGTGACAATTATGCTGAAATCACGGTCGCAAGAAGTTTCATAATGTACATGATTATGTACGCGTCGCGTGCCACGTTGCAAAACTCGAAATTTCGAGGGGTGAAACGCAATTATCCAAAAATAAGGGGAGAAGCAAACTAAAAATTTGTAAAATCGGCCGTTCAGCAGATGACATAGAAAGGGAAAAATAACACAAACAGTCCCTGAACTTTGGCTCAATGTGCAATTTGGTCCATGAACTTTTAATCTGTTCAATGTAATCCCTGAACTTTAGTCTAATATTCAATGTGGTCCATGAACTTTTAATTTGTTCAATGTGATCTCTGAACTTTTAGTACATGTTCAATTAGTCCCTGAACTAATGAAAATGTATAATATAGTCCTTGAACTTGATTTAATGGAAGAACTACATTGAACATTTTTTATAAAGTTCAGGGACTACATCAAACATGTACCAAAAGTTCAGGGACCACATCGAATATTTTTATAAAGTTCAGGGCCTACATTGAACAAATTAAAAGTTCATGGATCAAATTGCACATCGAGTCAAAGTTCAGAGACTGTTTGTGTTATTTTTCCCCACATAAAAAGTGGCGTTTAGACTGGTTTCGCTCATCAATCACACTCGCGCCTCTCCCGATCCCACATGATATGCCGGGACGGAACGGGTCGATCCTCGTGCATCGCGAGCTTTGCCCCACACGAGCGCCCCCCAAAGAAAAGAACGTTCTTGTCATCGTCGCTTTTCCACCGTCTGAGACAGGGAATGGAAGACCAAGACCAAAGACCAGTGCCAAGTCCGCCGTGGTGGGTGGATGAAAATCGAACCTCCTCCGTCCCCCCACACACTCACACACGCTCTCTCTCTCTCTCTCTCTCTCTCTCTCTCTCTCTCTAACGAAGAACATGCCGAGAAGCAGAGACTGCCGCCGCCGTCTCCTGTCTCTCCTCCCATTGATCTTGTGCCTGCTGCCGTGCCCGCCGGACGTCCGCCCATCGAGCGGCAGAGAAGGCGAGGGGACGACGCCCGATGTCGTCGGGTATGGGTACGCGGTCGGGTCCGTGGCCGTCGGCCCATCGGGAATGGCGTTGGCCGCCGAGCTCTACCTCATCAATAGGACCTCAGTCTACGGGCCAGACGTCGAGAATCTCTGCCTAGTTGCTAGGTTAGAACCAAAAAAAAAAATGAAGTATACAATATCGAAATTATCTACACTATAGAACTTATGTTTATTATTTTTGCTAAGTTCATTTTTGCAATGGAATATATGAAAAAAAAAAATTAGAATTCGAAATCATTGTATTATTACAAAAATTTAATAAAGAACAATACGAAAAAATTATTAGTAATTGTTTTGCCGGTTTTATCCCGTCGAAAATCTTTCACTGAACGTTGCGTTTCGAATTTTATTAGAGG